CAACTAGATTCTGCACCACTGATCAAAACCTAATAAAATATTCTTTATTGGAACTGTTTTCCAGTTTTCTCAGCCTTTCTAGAACATGCACAGATAGAAAAATAGCTGATTTATATGCACAAACATAAATTAGCTCATAATATATAAATTCAGATAAAAATAATTATTTCAGAAATTGATTATAATATTTTAAAATTAGTTTTAAAAAATATATTTTATAAATAATGTTCTGTTTGCATGCTGAATAGAGCAGTATTATCACAGTAATATGTTAAATAAAAATTTTAATCACAGTCCCAATTCTGCAATCCATTTCATCCCACTTCAATTGGGACTCAATACTTGTATGACTTTTTTTTACACATATTAATTTCATTCCTGTCATCACCACACATTTTTAAATGTAAAGAGAAAAAACTAAAATGAATGAAGAATTGATACTAACGCTTGGTACCATGGTATTAAAAGCATTTAAAATTAGAAACAAGCATAACTTTGAAAGTGGGCTGAAATCCTCAATCTTCTCTGTTCAATTTCATTTCCATGAATTGAACTCTGTAATCTGACAATTCTACAATTTTTTTAACTCACATATTTTAATTTTTTACATTAATGAGAAAATATACATAGGAATGAGTACAGGTTAAATATCACTTACTTCGGCAATACCAGAATCTGCACAACAAAAATGCAGAAGAATATGAGACAGGCACAAGTCACATAATACTTAAATGCAGGCAGAGTAGTTCCTCGATACTAGAAGGAAAAAAAAAGCAAATGTTAACAACACAATTTCCAAAGCAGATAAAATATCTCCCAATTGAAATTTCAGCTTAAAGTTGCATATATGTATAGGCAGTCTTTAGCAACAGTAAATTTCCTGCAGTTCAATGACTTCCACATCCACTCACACAGGGCTAGGGATTATCAGTCATAGTACTGAATCTTTTTACTTCTTGAAGAACCGCTTAAGTAGCCATGTCAAATGGTTTCGCCTTGTTGCTCTGTAGAATAGCACTATCTCAAATTAATAATAAAAAGCTGAATTAAAAAAAAGAAGTGAAAGCCACTTCTAAAATATTTTTAGGAATGGTCAACCATTCGTATTTGATTCCAAGTTTCTTAGTCATTAAATCCCCAAACTGATTTTAAATTATTAATAAAATACCGAATAGGCTGACACAGTTATAAAAAAGGTAACAGTCATTTAGACAGGAAACTTCTGAGCACACAAAGCAATAAAGTGTAAACTGTGCTACAGATGCATATAAATATTCTACTTCCAACAGCATAGCTAGCAATCATACTGATATTTACCGGGGCTATATTATTACAGTTAAAATATTTTATGTCTGTATTAAAATGCCTCATATAACCACTGATACTACTAAACACTTGATATTCTTAGGACAGAGTCAATTTGATCTGTTTTGTCATGAAAAAAATCTATTTATGAATCTCTAATTAGCCTGTCTAGAGACATAAGAATTAAGCAATGAAATATTCATCAGAGTTGTTCTGCTATTTGAGATAGATATGCCTAGATTGAAACCAATTAAGTTCTCAAAGGCAAATGACCTAAGTATTAGGCCTATTAAAGTTACTTACCCTATCAAAGTTTTTTTCAAAGGGTAAGAGTTCAAGATTTCATTATTAAAAGAAACTGTACCAAAGATGATTTTTACAAAGTGCTCAAAATTCAAACTTCATAAAAAGGAAAGTGCATCAGCTGTGCTTTCTAACTGCAAGCACACAGCTGTGTCTTTGTGCTTAGTACCAAATTCTGCCCTTGAAACTGGTGCACTAAACTTGAACATGCAAAAATTGAGTTTAGGAACCCAATAGCCTTTTTTCACTTTTGAATTGTATGACAAATTAAAAGCAATTTTTATCACATACCTAACTGAATTTCAAGGCACAAATATGACTTTGCTCAGTGGGTATGTTTGCAGCAAGTTTTGTTCTTCCACCTGTTCAATATATTTGTTGTTTCTTAATGGTCTTGTCCAACAATTTTGGACCTCGAGTTGTTGATAAAATCTCAAAAAATTCCAAGTCACTTGCAAATTTATTTCAGTGTTTCACACTTCTCTAGATGTTTCCCATTGAAGTCAGGCAACTCGCTCCTTAGGTAAAGTAATTATTTTGCTTTACTACTTTGCTGTAATTTCAGGTCCTACAGGGCCTGAAAAGTTCCCTCTAAATCAAAAGCAGGCTTCTTACTGAGTTCTTCAAAGTCAAGACTGGACTAGTGAGTCATTAAAGGCACTGAAGAAATAGATTAAAAATTTTGATCCAAAAAGAACAATTAGTTCTTTGCTGTTCCATAGCATGCTACAGTCTAAAAGAGATTAGACCATCTACAGGGACCATCTACACAGCTGAATAACTTAGCTCCCTGATTTTCTCCCAAATCTTGATTCCCTGATTGTCCAAAGTGCACATATAATAGTTTTCTCTCAAGTTGTCTTTCAGAATTTATTGGTTAGTACCACCCACATTAAAATCTGAGTTTGCTCCTAGGCACAACTTTGATCCACTCAGTGTGCCCTTAAAAAATTATGGATGAGAACCCACCAGGTCTAGCTTCTTCTCTCTTACACTATCTACTAAACAGCCTCAACAAGCCTTGAAGCTTTTTTCACCCTAATGCATTGCCAAGGGCATACAACACATGCCTATGGCAGCCGGCCATAAGAACACTATTCTGCTGAGCTGTGAAATAGTCTGAAAATTATTTCAGATGCTTTGAACAGAAAGATACCCACAAAAATAATTAAATACGTATTATACTACCACATAGGACCCAGAAGATGCTTGCACTTATGCTATACAGTGTGAACACAATATAGTAATACTTCTTTGTATAGTAATACTTGAGTTGTGGGGAAACTTACCTCTTATTTCCCCGCAGGACAGCATATCAGCTGCCCTATGTTTATGAGAAAGCATAAAGAGGCAACTCTCCAGTCTTCCT